GAGACGTGGTCCATTCGGCAACTTTGCAAAGAAATTGTAACGAAATTTGGCGTGCTCGAATGTGACCTTACGGAAGTGTATACAGCAATGCTACTGTTTCATACAATTCCTATTACTTCCGCGGCAGCAGAAAGATCTTTCAGTAAACTGAAGATTATAAAAAATTATTTACGAAACAGCATTGGACAAGATCGGCTCTGACATTTATCGTTAATTGCAATAGAAAATAAGGCGGCATCAAACTTGGATTTGAGTGAAGTTATAGACGAATTTGCAAAAATTAAAGCGCGCAAGAGGTTGTGAATTGGACAGGGAACTCTGTTAAAAATCGTTTTGTTTTGTCATCTATTGATCTCATCTGTATAATAAAGAAGTATGGATTAAGCTTACTAAGTTCAACTCACTGTATCCTATATCCTATTTCCTATCTATCCTATCTATAATTTTGAAGGCCAATATAAGTTGAAGTTACCATGAAAGGGGGTGAGGGCCCGATTTTTTCTCTATGCACCGGGGCCTTTGCCTACCTAGCTACGCCACTGCAATTGACCCCCCCCAGACGAAACGCGGTATCCTTACAATGCCGAATTAAAAAATCTAAAAATTGTATCCCATTGTTACTAAATTCATTATTACTATAGTAGATAAAAATATTTAAAGATGTAGCTATTTTGATTATTATAGTCTTTAATTACATAAATATAACTTATTAATACAACCCATCAAAATAGTATATTATGTATCAAGTTTGATAAACGCCATTTTAAACACGAATTTAATTTAGGCACGAGCGAGCTTGCGAGCGAGTTCTTAAATTAATGAGTGTATAGAAAAGTTTATAAACGAGTTGCATACTACAGGGTGTTATGTAATTAATGTTATATATTAAAATACTGAATACCTTTTGACATAAGGAGTAAAGGAAAAATATTTAAAAAAATATTTTTCCAAAGATAAAGAAAAAATAGGCATTAGAAGTTTTTTATATTTTTTGTGATACGCCACTGGTTACACACTTTTTATCTCTGCACACTTGTGTTCTGTGAGTACATAGATACCAACCAACAAAGTAGCTGCGCGTTGCCAGGTGTAAAAAATTGTTACTAAAAATTTTTCTTGCAAAAAATAAATAAAAACTCAATAAATACAAGTTTTATGCCCTTAAAGCTCTAATACCCTTCTGAATTTATTTACTCATCCAGCTATTAGCTTAAGCAATGATTAGAAAATTAATTTAGTACCTATTTTAAAAAATCCATAACCACAAAATTGATTTTTTCCTCGGATTTTTTCTTTCTGTTTACTCAGATGAAATTGGGACCAGTTCACAGGTTAAACTTTAAACATTTGATTTGTGTAAATAAATCCAAAAGCACTTCCCTTAGTTATAAAATATTTACAATTTAAGCACATAAGTTATGTGACATAACCTTAAATTTGAAAGAAATGCACTAGATTCTGTCATAAAAGTTGGCAGATTTAGTTTGAATTTACCTTCAGTACAAAAATGACATAACCAACAATCAATAAAAACGCCAAATTGACAATTTGCATTGTTAATTTTATCATTTTTGTAATTAAGCTAAATTTAAACAATGTTTGTCAACTTGTTTGACAAAATTTGAAAACGCTGTTACCAACCATAACATAATAAATTAAATTAGGCAACCAGATGACCTTAAAGTTCCTAATCGATCAGTGGCGTACTTTTTGGTAGGATAAAGGATATTATAAATTATTTTTAGTCTTTGGAATTTAGAAAAAAAAAGTTTCAGGTGCTTCTTTATGGACCCTAAGGAACAACCCATTTTAATATATAACATTAATTACATAACACCCTTTTAATAATACTTTTTCTACGACAAATACTTAATATTATCTTAAAATTATTTAAATCAAAAATTTGTATAGAGCGCCATCTATGAAGCAAACAGGGGAAACTGTCAAATGTCACATTTTTACATTTTATAAACACAAATATAAAGGTTATAAATCGAAATGTACCTATATTGAAAATTGACAGTTTTTCACAGTGAAAGTAAAGAAAATGTTTTATGAGGACTTTACAGTAGAGTCCGTGCCCGAATTTAAGTTATAGTTTACTGCCGGCGAAATTAAAAGGTCAGTACAATGTTCATATAAACTTTTCAAATATTGGCGTTTAGAAACTATTTAATATTTTTGTATTTTTGTATTGAGATAATGAAATAATTTTCACATTTAGTATTATTTTAAAAGAAAGGCACTTTATTTTAACGATTGTATGACATTTGACAACTGTCAACTAACTTAAAAATAACTTCAGCCCGTGACTAAAAACCTGTTGCTAACTTCAGCCCGTGACTAAAGCGCCGTAAAGCCACAACTTGTCAATGTGTATTTAAAAGGTCACTTAGTGTCATGGAAACATGTACGATAAAGGGCGTTTACATAAATGATTTTACATGTATGCTCAGGATCATACAAATAAAGCACAATTTATTTAACCCGTTCTTGCCAAGAACTTCTTGGACAGTGTCCTGACACAATTAAAAAGCAGATTTATTAAACATAAAGATTTGTTGTCATCATTCGCACTGTTGGTTCCACAGAAATCCGAGAGAGTTATAGAGAGGATCAAATTTCTAAATTTTTTCAATTGGCTACATTTTATCACCAAGATCTGGAGTGCAATAATCATGCAGTTTGGAGAGCAGAATTTGAATTATGGTGGGAATATCTGCAAAAAGTTGAGTATCCATCAAACGCAATTCAATTTTTTAAAATTTGGGTATATACCCTAACATATCAGAACTTCTAAAAACATTCTGCACACTTTCGGTGAGCGCTGCAACAGCTTAGAGAAGCTTTTCTGCCAGTGCTGGATTAACCTATAGGCCAACCTAGGCCATGGCCTAGGGCGCCGCGAAGCAAATAGGCGCCCAGGCAGAAGGCGCATTTTTTTAAGTAGGTTAAATATTAAAATTAATTAATTAAAATTAAAAATAAAATTATTACTTAAGTAATATTTGTAATTTGTAATTACAAATGTTAAAAATCAACTGGCTAAAAGCCAGTGGTTGTAGTTTTTTATTTTAAAATTCTAGATTATTGATCATGCATGCAAAAATTTTTTAGGCACGCGCTGCGGTATAGGTGACATCCATCAAAGAATAAAAAAATTATTCATATTTCCGATTTTGTTATTAAAATAAAAAATGGTACTCTCTAAAAATGAATTAGTCAAAAATGACTAATTTAATAGTTATTATAATTGAAGGGGTTAGAATAGAAAGGGTATAAGTGCAATTTCTTTAATTTAGGAGATAAGTTCGTTTTGTGAAAGATAAGGTTCCGACGTATCGAAATGAAAAGGATTTAAGTAATTTTCATACTTCTAGGGACCTCTATTATCCAGTAGAAAAACATAACTAAACAAAATTCTTCACTTTTTTATGGTAACATAACTTTAACTTCAAGTATCTCCAAAAAATGAAAATGTTACTTATACCCTTTTTATTCTAACCCCTTCAATTGATAGTTATAAGTGGCTGCTTTTTCACTTGTACCATGGTTAACCATGGGATACCATAGTATCCCAAAATTTAACAGCCAATTCTTATGTAAAATTGTCCCCTGAATCCGAAAATGTCACAAAAGTAGAACAGTTTTTGAGATATATTCAATTTTCCATTTAATATGTATTTGACTATATCTACACTTTTATATTTTTTGACGGTATTTTCGGATTCAGGGGACAATTTTACATATATGTAAAATTGTCCCCTGAATCCGAAAATACCGTCAAAAAATATAAAAGTGTAGATATATTTATATATATATATAATTCTTATAAGAATTAGCTGTTAAATTTTGTGATACCATGGTATTCCATGGTGAAAATAATTCATTTTTAGAGAGTACCCTTTTTTATTTTAATAACAAAATCGGAAATATGAATAGTTTTTGCTTTAGGATATATTTGAACCGATTAAAAATGTACCTAATGAATAAGAATTTTATATAGGACAATAGATCATGATATGTATTTTTTGTTTTATTATATATTTAATGTTTAAGTAGATATATGTGAACTGTTTAATTGTGACACACTGTGATTTCAGTCCTGTTACCAGCAGTTGCTGTTTAGGGACACAACAACATTGTATTAGTCAGTATAGAAGTATATAATATACAAAAAAAATACATACATATTATGTATGTATTTTTTTTTTGTACAATTGTGGTTATTTTAAATAAATTTTTTATTCTTTGATGGATGTCGCCTATACCGCAGCGCGTGCCGACAATGCACTGCGACCCCGCAAAAAAATGTTTGCATGCATGATCAATAATCTAGGATTTTTAAATAAAAAACTATAACCACTGGCTTTTAGCCAGTTGATTTTCAACATTTGTAAGTAATAATTGTTAATAAATCGTGCCCTACTTGCTCCCCTTATCTGTGCGCCCCTGTCGGCTAAAATGTATTGTGTTACATTAAAACCATAGGTACTAACATGGCCTATAATAATTATTTTAGGCGCCATTTTATTATTAGCCTAGGGCAACAAATTGTCTTAATCCGGCCCTGTTTTCTGCACTAAAATTGCTCAAGACTTATCTTAGGAATATGAGAGAAGAGAGGATGAATGGCTTTTTTATATGTTCATTTTAATATAACAATTTCTGTGGAAGAGGTCTTAAATGAACTCCAAAAAATAAAACAAAGGATTGACATTATTTTGTTATTTTTTCAATATTTATTTTTATTTGCAATACATAATGTAAAAAAATAATCAATCCTGCGTACACGCCTGCATGTGTATACTTACGAGTATAAGTACCAAATTTCAGCTTGATCTGATAATCTAATTTTTAAAAACAAAGTACTTTTAAAACCTTTTAGCTAAATAAACAATTAATATAGATTCTATTTAAATTGTGGAAATTTTTCTACAAAAACACGAATAATAATTTGCCTATCTTCGTATTTCTAATATTTAGATTAATATAAAAGGGAAGTATTTTATTGTTAGAAATTATAAGTTAGTAACGATTACTAGTAAAATATTATTAACAAATATGAAATACTTAGTAATAATTTGTTTGAGTTTGGCAGTAGTTAGCCAATTTGTTTGGGGTCTTAAAGATTCAAATATCGATTATGGAGATTGTGATGGGAAAGGTCCAATTGTTTACGAAGAAATGTTGAGAGTCCCGGGTGGTAGTTATACTGAAGAAACTGTAAGTATTAAGACTAAACAATTGGTTTTATTTAATATATTAATCGATTCACAAAATGGTTGATTATCTAGAACAGTGTATCTCAAACTTTTTTATGTCTCAGCCGCTATAAAGTTGGATCTAATATGACGAAGCTTAGAATGTTATGTAAAATAAAAATAGTAAGGGGCAATTTTTTTTCTTTTCGCACCTTTCGCGGAGCCCACTTTAAGAAACGCTGATCAAGAAGGGTCAAATTTACCTCTTGTAATATATTTTAAATCCCCACTTTTCTACAGAGAGATATATGCACGCCTACGGAGGATAATAAAATAAAATGCGTTGAAATCAAGGACTTAAGGAATGATTTAACAAACGGAGCAGCCCACATAACGGCAGGAGGACCAGGACAAAAATGTGTTACTATTAAATTTAAATCTCAATATAATAGAGCCATGGAATTTAATATTACAGTTTGGAAATCCTATTAGAAATTTAATTTTAAAATATATGTTTAGTTTAAAGTTTTATAATATTATATTATAATAAATAATAATATTTACATATTTTTTTTCCTTGTGGACAAAACACTGCTTTTGCATGAACATCCTTATTTGCAGCAAACTTGCCAATAACAGCCTCGTTACTTAGTAATGAGGCTGTTATTGCATTTCAACAATAATTATTATGAACACTTAGGGCCGGTTTTTCAATCATAGTTTAAACTTGGTTCAGCATTTGAACTTGGTTCAAACAAAATATACCGTTTTTCAATCAAAGTTCAAGCTTGAATTTGGTTTAATAAACTAAATCAAAAGATGAACTGTCACTGTTCGCCGTTTAAACGAAGTTCAACTTGACATAACTTAATTTATGCACGATGACATTATAATATGACAATTATAACAAAAATTCTTTGACGTAAACGTCTTTTTATAGCCCGCGGGCGTTATTATGACCCAGCGGGCTATAATGAAACGTCAAAAATTAAAAACAACAATGTTACACCATTTGATATATTCGAAGTAAGTTTTTTCGTATAAAGATTTTGATTTTTCCGGCAGCAGGCCGCAATTTTTCGCCTTTTCAGCTGCACCCTCAATTTCATTCATCTTAAATTTAAACTTTAAAACTGACTGATGTCATGACATGACATGACTGCAGTTGACATTATATATAATATGACAATTATAACAAAAATTCTTTGACGTAAACGTCTTTAAAAACAATAATATATTAAAAATAATAATATATTAATCGTGCATAAAGTTTTGTATGCATTGCTGGCATAACTGGTTTTTATGGTCCTACGACGCTTTTCTAGCGCCTCGGACCATAAAAACCTTATTATGCCCTTAATACATAAATAACTATTTTCTCTGCTTTATTGTGTATTATGTTGTTTATTTCTTGTTTTGTAATCTGCTGTTATAATAAACCAATGGATATGTTGATATGAGGTAGTTAGTGAGAGTGAGAGTTAGTGAGGATGATGAGGAAATTGGCGAATTCCTAAATAATATTCAACTTCGTGTGCACAGGCCATGAGTAAGACCGAATCATTTTGAAAGGTGGATTAATGATGAATTTTTTGCCAGATTTCGGTTTTCCAAACCTTTTGTACGTAGGCAGGCCCGTTCCTGGCGAGCGTGCAGTGCGTGCACGCACGCAGGCGCAACATTTCGGGGGCGCAAAATCAAAAAATCAATCAGTACTTTGTAACGATAAACTTTCTTGCATATGATACCTAAACATAGATTGGATAAAGGTTTCTGCCTTTTTTCGGTCGCTATAAAGCGCCTTTTGCCGCTTTGATATTGGCTGATTATTTTGTTTTGATATGAGGATCAAAATAAAAGGAGGGAAATGGTCATATTATCTTTAGTATGCAGTTGACGGTAGCAAAGTTTAACAGTAGTAACTCTCTAAAATGAAATTATTCAAAAATGACTAATTTAATTAGTCTAATTGCAATAGCGAAAAAGCAGCAACTAATAATTATTGCCAATAGTAATTTGTATCCCGGATATTTAGCAGTCAACTCCTATGTAAAATTGTCCGCTGAATCCGAAAATGTCGTCAAAAGTTATAAAAGTAGAACATTTTTGAGATTTAGTAAATTTTCCATATAATATGGTATTGACTATATCTTAAAAACTGCTTTACTTTTATAATTTTTGACGGTATTTTCGGATTCAGGGGACAATTTTACATAATAATAAGCTGTTAAATGCCCGGGATACAAGTAGCTGTGGACTAAAGTTATAAGTGACTGCTTTTTTACTTTGAAAACTAGTCATTTTTAGAGAGTACGTCACTAAAAACCAGTTTTAGTTATTATATTGTTTAGATTGTTTTTTTTTCTTTAGAGTATTTTTATGACTGACTATTTCCCTCGTCTTAATTTCCACCAATCACAAACGCGCAATTTGAACTACAAATGGTTTCTAGGTGGAAAAACTGTATGACAGCACCTGTCAGCAGTTTTTTCGAGTTTACCCGCGGCAAAACTTGACAGCTGTTGTCACCAAAAATTACAATTTATATTTTAATTGTTAACTGTTACTCATGAAATAGTCTTGTCAAATACCATTTGGGCATCTAACTTTTCCTATGAAAAAAATCGTTAAAACACAATGCTAAGTAATATTTTTTAACAAAATGCATTCGTGCAGGTGCAAAAATCCTCGTCTTCGACTCGGATTTTTGTTGACACCAGCACTCATGCTTCTTGTTAAAATATTACTTAGCAACGTGTTTTTTCGATTTTTTTTGAAAAAATAGATCCCTTATGATATTACTTATTCAGTGTTGTAACGTAACTAGTTACTTAAGTAACTAGATACAGTATCTAGATACTTTTTATGTATCTGTTTGTGTAACTAGTTACTTATCCCAATCTAGTAACTATAACTGTAACTAGTTACAAGTTCTAAGTAACTAGGTGTGCTAAGATACAAAGATACATTTTTAATTAAACTGCGACTATTATTTATTTAAAAAAAAAATATAATAAAAAATAAGTTATTTTAAATTAAATGTTAAAAAAAAATAAAAATAATAAACATATATATGTTTGTTGTCACTTTAAAATTCCCTTTTATTTCTATTTTAAATTTTTTAAAGCAAAAAATAATTTGTATGTATCTTAAAGTATCTAGATACTTTTTAAAGGTAACTAGTATCTGTAACTAGTTACTGCAATAAAATATGTATCTGTATCTGTATCTAGTTACAAATTTTGGTAAGTAACTGTAACTGTAGCTAGATACTGAAAATATTGTAACTGTTACAACACTGTACTTATTTTTTATACGGATTTTTTACATTTTCAATTACATAATATGTAATATGTAATACATATTGCCAGTTTGTCGCAAAATATATATTTTTTAAATTTTACTGCTTTAAATTCAAATATTAATTGTATTATATTTAAATATAAAAGGGGCGCACCAACGAATGCTGCACGCAGGCGCCAGACACCTCAGGAACGGGCCTGTACGTAGGATAGTGGATTTAATTAGACCAGTTATTGCAAATACGACCAATAGGTTAGTTATAAAAATAATTACTGAATAGGTAATAGATTTTAGTAAAATTTATCACATGTAACAAAAAACGACAAATTCATTTTAAAATATAAAACGAAATACATACAAATAATTCCTCCTTAAAAGAGGTAAAGTTGGCAGCACGATTTTTATGCATAATAAATAATACCTAATTATTGTTCTTTAACAATAGCTATAATTTACTAGTAAATTGTTTTAAAGCACCCTTTCGCACAGATTATAACTTTTTAAAACAGCACAGATAAACAAAACTCCAAAAGTAAACACAAAATCCTTTTGTCAAAATGACAGTTTTAACTACTATTAATGTAGGCGTATACTAAATTCGGTTGTATACAACCGTATACCAACTTAACGTTGACACCGCTGATCTAAGTTCAACAGAACTGCTGTTGAGTCGACATTGAAAAACTCATTTGACTGTGAACTGAGTTCATTAACTGCAGTTCATGATCTAAGTTCCCCTGAACCAAGGTTTAAACCCTAATTGAAAAACCGGCCCTAAGTGTTCATAATAATTATTGTTGAAATGCAACAGAGAACTGACAATAAAAGCCCTTATGAAATCGCATTACCAAATTAAAACAGGACAAACTGGTTTTGGAGCACACAGGAAAAGGCGCACACATTTAGTGTGCTGCACACTAAATGTGTGCGCCTTTTCCTATTAAAATTCGCGATTCCCTTGCCACCAGCAAGCAAAGAATATACAGACTCTGTATTACAGAGAAACTGCATAAGCTCCGCCTACTTTATTGCACGTGCGACCGTTCTTTGACATTAGCTGGGCGAGATAATTACGTAATTAGTGTACACTATGATAGAAAAAAGTTTTTCCGACTTAATAAGTCTTATTCTGACTTTTTCCGACTTAATAAGTATTATTCACTTTTTAAGAGAAAGTAAGACTTTAAAAACTCTTATTAAAACTTTTTCAGAGAAAAATGTTCACAGGGGAAGGCACTAAAAACTAGAATTTATTATACAAACACAATTAATTGTGTTCTAAATGATATTTAGACATACATATCCAAATACATACCTACAACAACATTCGTGTTTTGCCTTGCCAATGAAAAAATTCATTTTCTAAGCAACGATGCCAATACGAAATGGGACTTTTACATAGTGGTCGTAGAAAAAAAATATTATTACACTTTTATACATTATAATTATGCGTATTATTTCTCGTATGAGTATGAGTATGGGAACGTATGGCAGGCCCCAGATATATTATCATCCACTGATCTCCCGGGGTTATTTTACCCCCTTTCCGTTCTCCTGCGTATCTCGCCAAATCACAGCATTACCTGTGTTTGTTGGATCCGAAGTTTTTACGCCGGCTGGTAGTTCCACCCTAGGAGGTCGTGGATGACAGTGTCAAAGGTTAAGGCCGCTCCCGGGTTTTTGTCAGCCGGGTCGGGCCATACGTCCAGTTAGGAAGGGTTTTTGGAGGACATTGAACTGACCCAAAACTAAGTACAATCCGGAATCCTCCTCAACCTAGGCCTTAGTAGTATCCCCATTCAATTGGTATTCGTGAATGGGGGTGGGTATATGCGTATTATTTCTCGTATAATATATATATTCTTTGGAAAAGATTACTCGCTCCCAATATTAAGCATTTTGATTTAAAAAAAATATTTGCAAACTCTATCTTGCCTATTTATTAACATCCCTCATTCGAGGCTATTTAAAACTCGAGATCTTGCAGGTACCTAGTTAAACAGACCTTGTTCTTGCAACGGTTTTATTGCCGTCCTAACGGACGTTGGGAAATTGGTTTCCTCTTTGGCTTGAATGTTAGAATATTCTGTAGTAACTGTTTAATACGGCATATTCCGCTTGAGTAAAAGCGAGTTTGACGGTTGTTATATAATAAACAGATGTCGCCACCAGTGTTTATTATATATGATGATATATTATCCGGTGATTCTGTGACACTTTAAGAAATATTTGTAATACCACATTAAAAAGTGATATTAGAACGGTTACATTCAGTAAAAGAAGTAGAAAAAATTAGTTTTGCCCTAAATACTTAACCAACTCATTGTTGTTTACAAGGAGCATGCCTTTGGTGTAAGGGCGGAGAGGGCGAGCCATCTTCAGGGCGACAATTTTTTTATTTAATAAAAATTCAAGGTCCTAAAATCGGGCTCCAAAGTAAACAAACACTGACAATAATTATTATACTGACGTTTAAAAAAATACATATACATTGTGTTTAAAAATAGTATATTGTGCGACTAGTGGGAGAGAGAGGAGATTCCTCTAGCGTAACTTCAGCACGTGGGCGAAGTAAAATTTCGCCCACCTGTTTAAGTTAAGAAATGAAATGGGTGTTGAATAAAATCGTTTTAATTCAGCACCCATTTCATTTCTTTAACTGATGAGCGAAATTTTACTTACACTAGTTGGCTAAATAGCACACGGGCTGAAGTTAGCTTTAAATAAAATGTAAAAAAAATGGGGTTAAAAGTGAATGAAAGCTGTCAGATAAAATATCAAATAAAATTGGCTTTACTCACAGACCTGTGGCTTTACTACTATTCTTAAAAATATTTATTAGGTTAAATAAATAGACAATTTACTTAATGATATATATTAAATTGTGTTAATAATATAACAATATGATACAATCAATTTCAAATTTCAAATTAAATACAGGGTGGACAGTACACAACAATAGTGATAATACAAAAAAATCCGTGATATATTTACCACTAAAACCGCTGTACAATTTTAATAAATACTTATTAAATAAAAATAGGTAATCCCAACCAAGTTATAAGGTAAAAGATAAGAAAAAAAATAAAACAGAGTAGAAAAAATTAACATACATAACATTATACATAGAAGCCAAACAATATAATATTGCAGATGTATTTATTAAATACATTATACCACCTTATGGTACGTTTTTAAAATATACAGCATTTAACAATATTTATTAGGATATAAATTGTAATTAAAAACCTATCTAGTTTTTTTAGTTGGTTCGCTACATGAAATCATCGTAATCGTCGACATAGTCGTTTCCATAGCTGGCAACCTGAGTTATTTCCTAAGAAAAAGTAAAAATATTAAGTAAATTACGTATTAATTTTAATATAATTAGATACAAATTGTACAAAAATTAAATATGTAAATGAGGCATAAAAAATGTAGCGTTGTTCTTGAAAATAAAATTAATAGTAAAAATGTCAAAACCGAGTGTCCCAAAATCACCTAAACAAACGAAATGGGTCGATTCCTTGCAAAAATCTATGACAAAAGTTTATTGCAATTTTTTTGATTTCGCAAAATTGCAGGACACCCTGTATTATGGAAAAAAAATTATAAACACTAAAGACATATATTTATGTTTTAAAATCTTTCAAACTTAAAATTTAACAAAATTATAACAATTTCAGTTTCTTTTTTACTATACCCTTTACAAATTTTAATAATTAAAAACAAACTTTACTTTGAAAATAACATAATTACAATAAAAGTTTCTTAATTGTTGTCAAATTCACTCTGTAATAATTATTTCAAATTCGTTCAAATTTGAACATTTTTGCTTTCGCGGTCAACCAGTTATGACGTCACATCTTGCTACATTCTAACACACCCTGAATTTACAATTTTTATTGACTCCATCCGAAAATAGACGTTTTAATGAGAAATAATAGGTTTTCATGCAATTTCCCTTTGCGACATGCCCTGTTCCAATAGAGCAATAATTCTACCCCTCTTGACTTCTGATAACCCCATATAAAGCATTTTTAATAAAATTTACAAAAATAAGCAATTTTACCTTACTAACTCTTTAAATCGAAACAATGAAATTGACTCTGCACGAACAAATCTTATGACGTATTTATTAATCCAACGGTTTTGTTAATAAAAACATTGGTATTTCATTTGCTTGTAATTATTTTTCATGAAAAACAATTGTTTCTATATAAGTTTGGTTGTGTATATCTCAATATTTGGCCATTTGTAGGGATATAATAAAAGTCATATGTGACTATGTTAATTGTGTAAATTGATATTTGCTCAATATTAACAATATTTTGTATTGTTTAACGTTGGATAATAATAATAATAATTGCATTATTCTGTGTACCTACATACTTATACAGTTATGCTATGCATATAATTAACATTTAAAAGAACATACATTTTTTACTTTAAAAAATGATGATTCCAGCAGTATTTATTAACTTTTTAACGGTTGATAGAAACTTAGTTTACATATCACAATTTTTGCGTTATGTTATCATATATAAATATATATTATATGTATATCTCTTTAATATTAACATTCAGTTAATATTGGCTTAATGTTGCTTTATGAGCTTAAAGTATTTGATTGCCCAATAAAAAATGTATGTGTATGCAACTATGTAAAAAATAAAACAAATGCATATCTCAATTTTTACTTTATTTTTGCCCTATTTGGCTATCTGGGTATATGATTTAAGGGTTCAATCGTTTATCTTTCCTGCCTTTGGCAGTGCAGATAATAAGAGTATAATAAGATTATAATCTTTGCTTCTAGACAAACTTTGGGTATGTATCTCCAGGCTAAGGTTGCTCTGAAGATTCTAAATAAATGAGGAATTAAGTTATCCGCGCCTTTTTGGGGATTCCGTCAACCCCCGGCGATTATTTAGGTTGAAATTTTACTATTGCCCACCCAATTATTGCAAGGTATATAGTCTGGTCTTGGTTTGTTTTAGCTTTGTAAAGAAGTACGCAAAGCAAATAATGAAGCCTTATGCCTTACGTCGGTGCTTTTAAAAGTGTTGTAACGCAGTCTGCAGAGCTTAGCCCCTTTCACCATGCCATTATAAAGGCTTTTGGTCCTTCTTATAACCATGTGTACAACAAAATGGTGTTTGGGGGTTTGATATTCTGGTTTTGTGGGGCCAGATTTCCTTCAGTAGAGCGATGTCCATACTCTCTTTTACAAACCTCCTACTAGCTATGGCGAAAGCCGCCTTGGCATGCTGAAGGTTTGCCTGCAGGACCTTAATCTTCGTATGAACAAAGATCAATGATTTCTTCTTCCATTGGCTCCGACTGACAGGTTGCGGTTGCCTCTGGGACGTCTTCGTTCTTGTCGGCTTCCTTTCCCGTTTCTTTAAAAGCCAAAGATGTTGAGGGTGTAGCCGCTATGACAGCGTGGTTCTTCTTCTTGGCTGAACCGATTTCACTAAACTTCAGACGCTTCATACCGAAAGACGCAACCATGCTCAGGTCCCCTAGGACTTTCCGCGAAACCTTATCCATTGAGAAGTACCAAATATGGCCTTTTTCCAACGGAATACATTTGTTAACTGTCCACAGAGACGTATTGAGGCCGCGGTTGGATACTCTGAGCTTTTTTAATACCCGCTCTGTCTCCAGCTTCTGTCCGCCTTTATCGGGGAAGAATGCCCTACAGACGCAGAAATTAGGGATGACATCCTCCTGCTTGGCCTGAAGCCTTGCCCCTTTCCAGGGGTGGAGAATGGGCACTGCTTCCATCAGCCATCGAGCCGATTTTGCGTCTTCACAGGTGACCACCATGGATCCTGACTTGTAGTTGCACCTGGTGAAGCTTATGGGCCACAATTCCTCCGGAATGTCTTCCTGGGCCTCTTCAATGGACGCTCGAAGAGCTGTGAGCTGTTCAACGTTCATCTTGACCTTCGGAAAACCCTCCAGGGTTATTGTGACCTTTTTGGCTGCGAGGGCCTCTTCCAACGACCCTGACGTTTCCGTTCTGGTCTTCTTTACAACCTGTGAGTTTGCGAATGTGCTGCTGTCCGACTGAAATATATGTTCAGTTTTAGGGTTGTGCCTGGTCAATTGACCGAGATTTTGACCTATTTTGACCGGAGAGATTTTGACCATGTCAAAATCGGTCAAAAACTTTTAAATCAACCGCGCGCGGCGACGGCGCTACCTAACGGAAAACATCAAAACTATTAAAAAGTGTTCTGTAGTAGACCATGGCGCCATCTTAATAATGCTTTTTAAAGTTAGTAATGAAGTAAACTTGGGAATCCCAAATTGAATTTTACTCATAACCTAGCTTTTTTATATCTGCCTATAACAAAAGTTACTACTAATTTGTGCTGTGCTACGTTTTCTCAGGTAAGTTATAACGCCCAGTTTAGGTGAAAAAGTAATTTTTAATTTTTCCATTCCATCTGTTTTATAAACATACCTTTTTTGTTGACATAAACCCCCTTTTTGATATTTCTATTTATGAAATTTAATGAGTTTATGCACGCTTGTATTCGACCGTATACACGTATGCTGTTTTATATCATTTAAATTATACGATTTTAACTTTTAGTGTTCTTGAACAAAGTAACCGCTTCTACACGTTCAAATCCTGAATATGAGCTCTGCAAAGAAGGTGACGAAACCGCGACATAAAATATGGGATTGTTTTACTGAATTTAAGGAGGAAAATAAGGTCAATGGAAAATGTAGATACTGTGAGGCTATATACATCACACATGTTGATAGAATGCAGAGGCACATTCTAAAACAGTGCAAAAAAATTCCTGAAAATCACAAACAAAAATATAAAAATGTAAGTCCTTCATTAACTGTGTTCCTAACCAATCTAAAATTAACATTTTTAATTTTATTAACCTTAATAAAAAAATTATTGATAATAACAATATACACTGTATTATATTAAATTATACAGTATATATATTTTAGGTAGCTCGTCATGGTGAAGAAGATAGCGACAGTGACCTTCATGATAAAGACGAAGCTGTATTTGCAGAGCAAATCAAGAAGAAACGATTAAATTCATATGAAGAAGGTACTGCTGGCCCATCAGGGCTAAGTAAATTAAAGAATCAAAAACTGGCGAGTTTTCTTGATCATTTAAATCCAGAACAATATGTCTGAACATTTCTGCAATGCAGTATATTCTTCAAATTGTGCCCTCTCCATGTTTGAAAGCGAACATTGGAAAAAGTTCTTCAACTTATGCAGGCCAACTTTTAAAGTTCCTAGTAGAAAACAGATGTCGACTACACATCTAGATGTGTCCTATGGAAAGATAAGAAACCAAGTAAAATCACAAATTGACGATGAAGCGACGGTTTCTATTATGAGTGACGGTTGGTCGAACATCAGGAATGAAGGCATTATTAACTACATGGTTCACACAAGTAAAGGAGACCTATTTTATGACTTCTCATTGCCAAAAGCCCAAAAGCACACTGGGATATATATTGCCTCGGAGCTAAGCAGAATTATCGAAGAGATAGGAGAAAGCAAGATTACTGCTGTTGTTACAGATAACGCGGCTAACATGAGAGCAGCTTGGGCTGAACTAAAGATGAGGTACCCAGGTCTTCAATGTATTCAATGTATACAGTACTTGCAATATCAACTCCGACCGCACTGGAAAGGACGGCTGTTCAATACCCGCGTGAAAAGAACAAGGATAGAACGCCAAATAGAATTTGATTGGCCAGCCGGCAGGCTACGACAACGCATACCCATCGCGCACCTCGCAGCGTGGTTGACACGAGGATATCAGAACGAGAACTGCAGTGGTGCGAGCAAGAGGTAGTAATTTTAGTGAAAACTAATTTGTTGGGGGATATTAGTCCAGAAGTCCTAGCAAATGTGCGTGGGAATTTTTATAATAGGTTAGGCTATTGTTTGGCTGCCTATGGGGGCTTGTTCGAACATTTAATTTAATTTTTGAGTTTATTTATTTTTATTATTTATTTTTAGAGTTTTATTTTTATTTAGAGTTTTATTTTTATTTATACCTAGTTATTTTTATTCAGAATTATTTTTTATTTGAGAAATCTTTTTTATTAAGAATACTATTTTTGTTGTTGCCCTAGTTCTCAAGGAAAAAATCAAAAAATTTTATTTTTAGGATTCGGGTACCTATAAAATATTTAAAAAGAAAATTAAAATGTGCATCTACACTCTTACGCAGTTTGCTTGACACTAAATCATTTAGTCTAAATGCAGCCAGACTGAGAGTTGACCTCGCTTACAATTCGCACGCATCCGGCAGCCGGCTCTGGCCAATCAAATTCTATTTGGCGTTCTATCCTTGTTCTTTTCACGCGGGTATTGAACAGCCGTCCTTTCCAGTGTGGTCGGACTTGGATTTGCAAGCACTGTATAATGGATCATGTCACAAGTTGTAAAGAAATAGTGAAGTTCTTTAAACTAAAACATGTGCCAAATGCAGTTTTGCAAGAAAAACAATGTGGCAACAGCAAATCGTTGAAAATGCCTGTAGAAACCAGGTGGGGAAGTACAGTGGCTTGTATGGACAGCATTCAGGCAAACAAACAATCGCTTAGAGAGTCGATCGTAAATAGTGACGTGGAGAGTATTGCTCCCGCTAAAATTAAGACTTCAATTTTTTCCGATGTGTTCTGGGACCGGAACGATAAATTCTTAAAATTACTTTCTCCTGTCGTTAGACTTATTACATTTATGGAAAATACCAATTCGACTTTGTCGGACGTAAGACACAAGGTGTACAAGTTGAAAGATCAATTTTCCGCCCAAATGTCGGAAAGTCCCTTTTTGATTTCCGAAGAAACATCCCTTATGAACAATTTTGAAAAACGGATTAAAATGATCTGTACTGACACTCATAATGCGGCCTATCTGCTGGACCCACGATACAGAGGAAAAAACTTGCAGCATGAGGAACTTGAACGAGCCATTGCTCTCATAGTGGATCTTTCTTTAGCAGATGACCATATAAAAGTTATAGGGGAAATTACCAACTACAGAACACAACAAAACGTATTTGATAAAGCAATTATTTGGACCGCATCAAAGGGTGTTACTTCTGTATGTAAAACTCCATCCGATGTAACACCCGTTACGTGGTGGAAGAATTGGCTTCCGAATTGCTCATTAAAGGATGTTGCTGTGAAACTGTTGGGCATGCCACCTTCTGCAGCCTCTTGCGAGAGAAATTGGTCCGCTTGGGGTATTGTCCATAGTAAGCTTCGCAACCGATTGAAAACCACTCGTTCAGGAAAGCTTGTTTATATAAAGTACAACTTGAAGCTGTTGAGTGGAAGTGAAAATAAAAAATGTGGAAATTCGGAGGAACCAGCGCTAAATTTTAGTAGTGAGGATGAAATCGATGATTTTGAAGAAGGCTGAGTTCAGTGACGAGGATGATTTGCTGTTATCTACCCATACCAGCACTGCCAGCCGTCATAAGTATTATTAGAATATTTTTATTTTTTGTACCTCAGAATGGTTGGTTTATCTTTTGATAGCAGTTTTTCAATAAATACACGTTTCTATTTAATGCCTTCATTTCTTTACAAAAAAACTGAGGAATTTGACCGGTGCTTAGTCAATTGACCACAAAAGATTTTGACCGGTCAAAATCCCAACCCTATTCAGTTTTAACGACAATTTTATACGAGGCGTTCCAAAGTAAACAGGGCTTTTGGGGGTCATCCTTTATGTACAGTCCTGTAAGCCTCATGACATTTCACACTGGTCCAAATCGGGTCATTCTTCAGCCAAGACTCGAAAAGGGAATATAATAATGTGAAAATTGTTTAAGGTTTTTAGGGTCGCAAAATGCCGGACCAAAATAATTAGTTTATCGCCCGGAAAATGTTAATTTTTGGGGTCGTTAATCACGAATTTGATATCAAAATTATGAAATTCAAAATGGCGAACCAAAATGGCGGGTTAAAAAATCTTTATTATTGGGTTTTTGGGGTCGCTGATCAAGAATTTAATATAAAAATTATCAAATTTAAAATGGCGGACCAAAATGGCTTTTTTTTAATAAATGCGGACCATGTTTCTTTTATTAAATATTTTATTTAATTAATAGTTATTTTAATTAAAAGTAAAGCAAAGTCCCTCAATGCAATTTAAAAATAAAATACAAGTTCTTTCTTTTCAATATGTTTTTATAAATTTGCTTTTTCCTTTTAAATAAAGTCATTTATTTATTCTTTTTATAGATGTTATTTTAAATAAAATAATATTGTTTTTAGTGCAGTGGGTTAGGCGACTATGCCGAAACAAACTGCATCCGAAGGTACCGGGTTCGATCCCCGATCACAGCCTTGGGTGTTGTGAGCGTTTAAAGTCGGTAGATGAGTCTAAATCATCAAGGACCGTGGTTCGGATTCCACGTTAAACAGTAGGTCCCTCTGAAGAACCGAACCTTATAGGCTTTGCCTGTAAGCTGGGTAGGTTGTTGGCGTTACTACTCTATTTACTTTAATATGGTTTTTAAATGTAATAAAAAAACAAACCATTATTATTTCTTGAGTTATATTTTTTCTGTGTTCATTTAAAAAAAATTATATGTAGTAAAAATATTATTATATGTAGTGCAAAGATTAATAAATCATTTGCAAAAGGAATTGTTTATGTATGTCTTTTAGTTATCCTATAATAAAAACTTCACTGCGACTAGTCGCGACTACTGTTTCAAACACGGGCGCGGGCGTGTTTATTGTGGTTTTATTAATTTTCGGGCAAGTTTGTGCAGTCGATTTTATAAGAAAAATGAATTTTATCAAATTATTGTATATACCTTTATAAACATTTTCCATTTTGAAATGTTAAAATTGAACACGAAAAATTAGCACTTTCGTTGTACAATCAAAATCAACAATCAATCAACAAGAGCTATTACCAATTGATTGAAAAAGAGGCTAAAATAGAACTGTTGAAGTGAGTAGGTAAGGCAATTTTATATCTGAACTGTGTGTTTTAAATATATCAAACATCCATCTACATGAGCGGATTTAAATAATTACATAACTATTAAGTTAGTTTTTAGGGTTTTGGCCAAGCCCAAGCCCGATTTGGACTAGTGTGCATTGGGATCATCATGCTGTTGCGCCTAACGTGTCAGTATGTTTGTGGAATAATTGAAAATAGGAAAAGGGTCTTTTTAATGTTTTAAACTTGATAAATTTATCGAAAAGTTTTAATTGTTAAAACACGTTTATAGTAAGGATCGTTTATCCCTTTTTAATGTTTTAAACTTGATAAATTTAACGAAAAGTTTTAATTGTTAAAACACGTTTATAGTAAGGATCGTTTATCCCTTAGCAGAGTTCATAAGTGGCATACACGCTCTAAGGAAGAAAATGATGACCAATTTGTTAGCCAGTCAAAATCCCTGATAAGTAAAGATACCATTAAGACTGTGCGTAAATTTATTAAAAAATTGAATAATTTCATCTCATACTGACTGAACATTTGTACCTCCAAAATGTCTGTGCACCATAGACATATCATTATTTAAGCTGTGCACGGTTTGTTTCGCAAAAATTGACTGATGACCAAAAATTGCCCAGAATTCAGCATTTAAACACACAAAAACAAAAATCTAACCGCTCGACGTATTCCGTTTTATCATCGTGTGACATTCGGAAAAATGCATTTGCGGACATTTAAGCCATCCAAAAGGCTTGCACCGATATCCTCGGGGCTATCTCTTTAAACACCCTAAAAAAACTTATTCAAAATGCTTTTTGACCATGCAAATTGCTCTATTGTTTCTTAAGGAGAATAAGATAAAAAAGATTTGCCAAAATAAAGTCCTGGTTATTTTAAAAAATTCCTGTTTACTTTGAAATGCATAATACATATTTTATATTAATGATAAAATTTTAAATATGCCCACATTGTAAACTTGATTTCTGTCAATGAAATTATTTAGCAATGTTTGTTAAATTTAACTTTATAAAACATATATTTTACTGAGTTTAGTTTTTCTGCATCTAACTTTGCTTATATTGTGTATTATATTCATTTGTGTCGAAAATATACAATAAAAACTGACATTTTAAGGTGTGCTAATATGTACCAAAACCGTTTCACTATTAGATTGTTATCAATTCACAAAATACATGTTGACTAAAATTACGTCCAAATTTTAACCCCAAATTATAATTAAGTGTGTATTTTATACAAGAAACGCAAAAATTAAAGTAAAAGCCAAAAAAGCTGCCAAATTAATTTAAAAAAACAAAATACTTACATTATCACCCTCAAGCTTAAGCCTAGCTTTTCCTTTTCCTTTACTCTTTTTGGGCTTGTCTCCCTTTTCCATTTTTTGCTTTTCCAAATATAAATTATCTAATGTAGTCTTAATTTTTTTTATATCTAAAGATGTCACTGAAAAAAAAACAAAAAATCAACACCAAATCCTACCCACATCAGTTATTAATATTATTAATTAACTTACTAGTGGCACATAAATTCCTAAGCAGTCCCTCAGTAAAAGCAGGGTATTCTATACTCTTTGAGAGGGGCAGCAATTTTTTAGAAAGCGTTTCGGTGAAATCTTCAAATTCTTCTTTGGTACTCGGCAGCAATAAACCACCGATACCATTCTCGGGACTACCGCCAAAAGTTGTTTCCAGAGCCAATTTTAAATCCGACTCTTTCTGCCTTTTCAGTTTTTCCTCTGGAGATACGTCTTCTTCTTCCATTTCCCTTAAACGACGTTCCATTTCTTCGCGTTTTTTTCGCTAAAAAATGTTTTAACCTGTTAGTATTTATTGTGTAAATTGGTAAGGAATTTTTACTTCTTTTTCTGCTATTCTTTCAGCAAGTGGTTTCTTCTTCTTCTTTGCTTCTTCCGCTCTTGTTTCTTCCGATTTTTCATTGTCTTCGTCTTCATCTTCCCAGTTGTCCTTAAATAAATATAAAAAGTAATTTTTTAACGTTTTATAAATATAAAAATCATAAACAATTTGTTTTATTTTTTTGTTAAATTACTTTTGTTTTTTTATAAGTTAAAAATTATAAACCTTAGTTATTCGTTTTAATGAATAATGTTTTAAGATATTTTAAAGATATTATAAAAGAATATTATTAATAACACAGGCCGACAAAAATAAAATTTCTGTTTGGTGCATGGCAACCAACAACTTTTTAAGGTAATTTAGGTACGCTCTTGTTTTTGCGATGTAGAATAAAAAACATTTTTTTCTATATGCGCACATTCAAATTCTTATATATATTTTTATAAACTTCTAATTTAAGCAAGGATAGTTGGTAATGTTGCTATGGGTCTTTATTAAACTAAAAAAAATACCATATACATTGATAATGGTATTATCTTTAAAAATCTTGCTTTCATCAAAAGAAAATCGATTTTTTAGCCAAAATTCGGATATTTTTAAAATTCAAAGTGATATACCTAGCATGATCAATTTTTGCCTGATTTAAATAAAATTTAACGTATTTGTAGCTCTATTTATCTTCTTTATAGTGTTAAAATTTCAATGCAATGCAATCTATTTTATAATAATATTTAAAATTTTAATAATTAATTAATAGTATATTATTATATGAGAGATAATGCAGGCTATTATTCACAAGGATGAGGTTTGCAAGTTGAGCTGTCAGGCGAGAGACGTAAATCATCCAGTAGAGAGTAGAGAATGCGCATTATTTCGAGTGTAATACTATGCTTTTTCTGCTCCAATTAAGTAATTTTCATTGATAACAAAATTTATTATAACCTCACTTTTTCCCGATTTTAAAGATCATTATAGTCGGCCCTTGTATATATAAACAAATCTTACATCTGTTAACCTTACTTTTTCCCAATTTAAACCCCGATTGGTTCAAATAACAGTGAATATTGAAATCAGCCAATCACTGATGCCTAACAACGTGAATATTGAACTCATTATTCACGTTGTTAGGCCGGTCGCGAGGGGGAAACCACCTTCCGCAATACGTGTACAATTGGTCCGAAATCACTTGCAATCGTCGCTGCAATCCCGCAGTCACTTCGCAATCGTCGAAATCCCTACCTGCAATCCCGCAATAACCGAAATCTCTATCTGCAATCCCGCAATCGCGGAAATCCTATATTTGCAATCCCGCAATCGGGTTGGCTAAAAGTCAACAATAAGGTACAGCTGTGTTGCCAAATTTATTTAAAATAAGTGTAACTAGGGAAGATAGTTCAAGTTTTTATATATAATAAAAGTTTATAATACATATGTGTTTTGTCCGGTCTTTCATACATATTGTTTGCCCGGTTTTGCATACATACAGGGTGACCCAGTGCTCTGTGATCGGTCCATATTTTCTTTGCTATTAAAGATATCGATGTGAAATTTTTATAGAAAATATGATCCAACTAAACCTATTGACCAAAATTATTTTTAATAAAATTCCACTTCCGGTTTTACGGGAAGTGACATCAACATTGTTATTTCAAATGGAATACCCCGTATATTTTCTGATTTTTAAATTTCATATGTAATTCCTGATAAAATTTCTATAACATTCCCTATACCTAAACTCAATAGTTTTTGAGTTATTAATTTTTTTCGTAAAAATTTGACAGTTGCGCCTTCAACAAAAATAGCCTATAACTTCTTTGTTTTTAGGTCTATTGGTATGCGGTTTGGATTTTTGGAATCTTGAAACATTGTTTTAAATATTTCGTATCAAACTTTGCCATATTTCTAACCAATTACTTGATAAAAATTAGGGTGAATTTGGCAAACTTTAAACCTTAATAACTTTCTTATTTTTAATGGAACGCTATGTATATTTTTGCAGAATTAAATTTCTTATTAAATTACCTTTTGATTGGTATAACCATTCCCTATACCTAAAGTTAATAATAACAAAGATATTTCACAATTTTGTAATAATTTAGGTATCAACACACCTGAGAAATCGACAAGCGAGTTATTTTGACGTATCCATGGATACCAATAACAAAAATTGTTTAAAATCTAATTGTTTAACTTTTTCTAGTATTTGTTCAGTTAAAATGGATTTTACGCGACAAGATATGATAAATATGGTTTATTGTATTGGAGAAGCGGATCTAAATGTTCTGCTAGCTAGTAGAATTTATCATCAAAAATATCCTTAAGATTGCCCCGAGTAATTTCATTTCAAAAATCGAGGGAAAGATTTGAATTGACGGGTAATATTTCTTACAAGAAACTAGAATTGATTGGACGGAGAATTGATGAAGACCATGAATTAGAAGTTCTTTTGACGATAGAGGAAAATCCTTTTTTGAGTACCATATTTATCATTTCTTGTCGCGTAAAATCCATTTTAACTGAAAAAATACTGGAAAAATGAAATAATTTGATTTTAAACAATTTTTGTTATTGGTATCCATGGATACGTCAAAATAACTCGCTTGTCGATTTCTCAGGTGTGTTGATACCTAAATTATTACAAAATTGTGAAATATCTTTGTTAATATTAACTTTAGGTATAGGGAATGGTTATACCAATCAAAAGGTAATTTAATAAGAAATTTAATTCTGCAAAAATATACATAGCGTTCCATTAAAAATAAGAAAGTTATTAGCGTTTAAAGTTTGCCAAATTCACCCTAACATTTATCAATTAATTGGTTAGAAATATGGCAAAGTTTTACACGGAATATTTAAAACAATGTTTCAAGATTCCAAAAATCCAAACCGCATACCAATAGACCTAATAACAAAGAAGTTATAGGCTATTTTTGTTGAAGGCGCAACTGTCAAATTTTTACGAAAAAAATTAATAACTCGAAAACTATTGAGTTTAGGTATAGGGAATGCTATAGAAATTTTATCAGGAATTACATATGAAATTTAAAAATCAAAAAATATACAGGGTATTCTATTTGAAATAACAATGTTTATGTCACTTCCGGTGAAACCGGAAGTGGAATTTTGTTCAAAATAATTTTGGAAAATAGGTTTAGTTGGATCATATTTTCTATAAAAATTTCAAATCGATATCTTTAATAGCAAAAAAAATATGGACCGATCACAGAGCACTGGGTCACCCTGTATGTGTTTTGCCCGGTTTTGCCTAAATTTATGTAGTTTAAATGTAAATAACAAATTTTACTAATATATATAATATTGATTGTAAATAACAAAAAAATATTTGAATTATGCATCTTTTCAATTTTTAAACAGTTGACGCCAACCTTGTTTTATCAGTATTATTGTAGGCAGGGATGGGCATGATTTTTGAGGCAAGCAAATATTATTTTTAAAGATTATGGTTGTGAGCAATATTGTTATCAGCAAGACGCTCAGTGAATCTATATCTCCATGGCACCACGCATGTACGTACTGGCCACCATCTTTGAATTATTTGCCGCCGTTAATATGAATTTCCTGAAATAGTAGTTCTGTATAACACATTAAATTAATCGCAAATGTTTTTAAATATAAGATTTGAAAAAAAATATGTTATTGATGAATGAATTAATTGAAGACACTAGTGAATAAAGGGTCTAAGTGACAAAATTTTGACACTGTTTTTTGATTTGTGTTTCCAATTATTGACAAATGTATTTAATTTTTTAGTACAACATTTTTAGGCCTTCTAATAGATGAAAATATGTTAATTGTCACATTGAACAACTTTGCACCAAGTTAAATAAAACTTTGTATTCAATTAGGGTCATATATAAATATGTAGATTTTCAAACTTTAAAAACTGTATATTATGCCAATTTTCAGTCTTTACTTAGGTATGGCATAATCTTTTGGGGTCAAAGTATGACAGTACAAGAGGTTGTCTGCCAAAAGAGTTTGGCATGAAATGTTGGGATTATGGTACATGTCTTCCTGTAGAGGACATTTTAAAAATGTGTCAGTGGCCTTTAAGTGTATAAACTATTAGGTACTCTATATGTTTAAAAACAAACATATATTTAAACAATATGGGGCAGACAACTTAAGAAATTTGTACTATTACTATTCAAATCATAGACTTTCAACGTTTGAAAAAGGATGCTTATGCCTTCATAAAAACATTCAATATTTTACCAAAAAATATTAAAAATATAAATAATTTTAATTTGTTTGGATTTGTAATTTAGAGCCTTACACTTTTTATGATATATTTGATTCCTAAAGTTTCCTTTTTATTTTTTCAACCTGAAAAAATGTCGCAAACTTGATACAATGCAAGCAAGTATAGCTTCCCAGTAAACATTTGTGATTGCGTATTGAAATCACTCCGAAATCCCGTCGTGATATCGTGATATCACTGGCGCATTCATGTTTCCACAATACACAATCAATGGGAAATCAAGTCGTGACATTCAAGCGCAATACACACTCAATGAGATATCACTCCGTGACATTGCTAGCGCGCATGCGCGAGCGAAAGTGCAGGGGAATATTTAAAACATGTTGGGTGAAATAAAATTATGGGCTAAAATATTAACAGTCAACGTTTATTTAAATAAAATAATAATAAGACAAGTTTTGCACACTATCTTTATACAGGGTGACGCAGATTTTAATTGGGAAAATTTAGTGATCTATAGAAATCGAAAATATCAGAAGAAAAGTATGTATGTTTTAAAGCTTCGTTTTCGAGAGGCAGGGTGGTCAAGTTATTAAAAAAATATTTATTTTTTTGGGCGAATTTGATAAAACCTTTTAGGTTTTTAGTAGTAGGCAAAGGGCTTAATTTAATGTAAATTAAATTTAGTTAATCCAGAGGCGGCGCTGGAACATCCCAAATAGATATTTAAAATAAAATTTGGGTATGATACTGCTTTTTTTAATTTTATTATTATTTATACATTAAAAATAAAACGGAAAAGAATTTAATTTTTTTCTTCGCTTGCAAAATCGCAAACAAATATAAAGTAAAGTTATATATTTTTGGGGAAATAATTGTTTCAAATCATTAACCTATAACGTGTCTAACAATAATAACATAATTAACGTATCATGAACAAATTAAAGTAATGTCATTTAAATGAAAAGTTTCGTCCCTGCGGGGTCACGTCGTGACAAAAAGATCACGCGCGTGTCACTGCTTGACATAAAACGACAAACTTAATCACTGTGCCAGCAATTTGATATCAAGTTGTGACATGTCACGTCGTGACTTTTTCGTGATATCACAAATGTTTACTGGGTTTAAAAGCTTAAAAAAAATAGTATATACAACATGGACGAGAAAGCATATTAACTGCTCCACCTGTTAGGTAGATAATGTACTAGGTATTTTGGAGATTTTCATAAAAAATATACTGTAAAAATTAATTTGTATACCATCAATGATTTTTTTTGTTTCTCGAGTTAAGAAACAAATTTTTAAAAGAACTTGTGTTATTTTCCAGAGATTTCCCAAAGATTATTTTAAAAATTCGTTTCCAAACTCGAAAAACAAAACAGGATCATTCTGATAGCTTACTAATTGATTATAAAAGTTTATTTTTTTTCTCATCAGTGAGCTCATGATGTATGAAAATGCAACTTTAAAAATTATTTTCTTGGATGTGCTGTAAAAAAATTTGAAATTATTTGTGAATGTGTCTGATGCCTCACAAAATCATATTTTAAATTTTGAAGACACTCTAAGGAAACTCTTTAAATGGAGACTATAGTCCAGGGTGGAAGAAGGAGGTGATTCAACTCCATCGTTGAAGGCGGCCAGATAAGTCAGTATTTGTTAAAAGTCTGTATAGATGGCGCATTGAAGTAGAACCTGTTTTAATCCCGGTGCACAACAAACTTTTCCCATTTTTAGTAAAATTGCATTGATTAACTTCAAAGAATAGACCACTAAGCTTAATTAAATTCAAATAAAACCATTTCAACGTCACTTTTGTGCGTTTGTGGCGACTGTGCATTTTGGTAGAACAGTTGGCAATACTACAGTATTGCCAATGTTCTTCAAATTATTATAATAATGCTGTAAGAAAAGATGTAATTTTCGTTAAGGAGGGTAGAAGACTCTCCTTGGGTTTTGGTTATCTTATAATTTGTTTTTAAAAGTTAAGTTGTTATAGAATATATGGATTTCGTTGGTAAAACCTTAGGTTCTTATTTGACTCGCCATCTAACGAACAACGAACGAAATACTGACTTATGTGGACGCAGTGATGCCAACTCGTGGGAAATTTCCCTTTTTGAGGGAAATTTTACCCCACATTAAGACAGATGGGAAAAAGGGAATTTTTTTAAAAAAAGGCCGTTCATGAGGGAAATTTATATCAATTCATAATGAAAATTTTTAAATTACCCTTTTCCTACTTTTTCAAATGGAAATATTTCGGATTTTTTTAAATTTTATGACTTATTGTTTGTTGACGGTTATCGGTATCATAGAACCCTAGACCACACCAATAGATACGTAACTACCTGAAAACGTTTTGATGCAATAAAGCGCCATCTATTAAAATTGAAGTAATTAAAATGCAACGTTGCCAAAATCGCCCGCCAATATTTAAAAATATATATTATTTTGTAATTGGCAGAGTACAGTGCAAGAACTAGATAACTCAATTTCCACTAAAATGTTTTACATTTTAAAATAGTTAACTGGTTCTTGCACTGAACAAGGCTTTACATTGCTTTTTTTCCAAATTGTAAAATGGCTCTTAAAATACATTTATATTTAAATATAATCATTGTTAGGTCATAAATGAAATAATTAAAATATTTTAACATATATTTTTCAATATAAATATTACATAAACAGTAAAATACTATCTTAGGCCATACAAATAATAAACATAAAATAAATAATTCAGGAGTGAGTGGTCAAAAACAAATTTATCCATTTGATCAAATTTTCAGGGGAGCGTAAAAACATAAAAATACATTAAATTGTTGTTATATAAGACATCCTGTTAGTTTTTCTAACATGCCTATAGGCAGTAAGCCACTGTATTCAGAAACCTTTTAGAATTTGTAGAATTGAATTTAGAGAACAAACATGTTTGGTTATGACCAAATTTCATTTAAGATGATTATTTTTAAGTCCCATTTAAAATAATGGTCTTTGACCACTTTTAAAGTGGTTATATGTATGTGTGAATGATCCTCCTCTACAATGATCACTACTTAAGTAGTAATAATTATTTGCCAGAAGTGGACAAATTTGGTTTTGATTAAAAGCTCCTCAATTAAACCGTACAAAACATCCCATACAGCACAAGATGTCCATTGGACGTCAAATGGACGTACATTGGACGTTTGGATGTACAATGGTCGTCCGATGGACGTCCAATGGATATATGTGCTGTCTGGGATAATTATATAATAAAATCCTATTTTGATTTACATAAATATTGAACATAAAAAACATAACAATTAAATGAAAAAGTAGATGCGTTTCACTATATATACATTAAAATAACTTGCATTGGTCAAAATTGATTAACTTGAAAATATTTTTAAAGCCAGTTTCCTGTCTGTCATGAGAATTTTATATTATTAATTTGTTTAATAAAATTAAACAAATATACTTTACATTTTTTAGTATTGTATTCTCTTTTTAAAATGTTTTTTTAAAGCCAGTGCCCTGGCTTTATGAAAGAGCTCTGGAGCTTTTTTATTTAACTTTCTACTGTCTTTTGAATTTAAAATATTATTTATTTGTTTTATAAAATTAAACAAATTTACTTTGGTATTTAGTTCTGACAGACAAAAGCAGGCAATAAAAATAATAATATTAACTTATATTTAAAAATATATAGATTTTCATGCAGAAAACACCACTGCAAAATTACATAGGTACTAATTTTAATGAAACCAAGCTATACCTGGTAATAATAATGTTGGGTAAGCCAGACGACCAAGTCTTTTATTACATAAAAGTCCTCCTGAATAAAATGCTTTGAACACACTCTGCAGTTTGTAAAAATTTTTTGAGGTGTCATCTCAATAAGTCTTTTATTGGCACATAACTTAACCCATTTATTAAACAAGTCGATGTTCTTTGAAGGATTTGGAAAGGAATGTTTAGATTCCTTAGATCCCCAACAACTTTCAACAGCACAATATATAGCAACCATCTGTAATAACAAAGTTTTAAAACAAGAATTAAACAAGAATAAAAAACATACTTACCTTTCAAGATGTAAAAAATAAAATAAAATATAAAAATAATATAAAAATATAATAATATTGGAATTAAGCACTAATTTAACACACCTTCAAGTTTATTAAACCAACTTATATTTAAGACACTTGTTTGACAGACATTAAAAACAGAGCATATATGATTAATATAATATTTTAAAGATGAGTGACAGCTGTTTATGAATTAATTAAAAAGGTTAAAGCTGTTTATTAGTTGCGGGGTTGCTACATCGTCATTGACCACAGCGCCGTCTAAAATGAAGAAACTATATTAGGTAAATTCTCATATAACTTGTTTCGATGCTGTATCCACTTATTTTTGTGAAAACTAATTCTCGCTCAAGGTTTTTTTTAGTGTAATGAGCAAGTAGCATTTTAAGGTAATGGGAACTTAAATTATGACAACCCTAATCTATAAATTTTTTCCTAAAATGCAGGCTTTATGTTTCAAATGTCACATAAGTTACCGGTCACCAACTGCAATATCCTAACATTGATGAATATTTTAACAAAATGGCTGTTGAAACAACTAATGTTAGTGCTTGATTAACTCAAAATAGACTTAATTAAGATTGACGAAAAATTATTTTATCCGAAATCGGCAGTAAAGTAGAACTTTACTGCCGATTTATTTTAATTTACGATTGTTGACTACTTTACTGCCGATTTCGGATAAAATAATTTTTTGTCAATCTTAAGTCTATTTTTAGTTAATCAAGCACTAACATTAGTTGTTTGAACGGCCATTTTGTTGAAATATTCATCGATGTTAGGATATTGCAGTTGGTGACCGGTAACTTATGTGACATTTGCAACATAAAGCCTGCATTTTAGGAAAAAATTAATAGATTAGGGTTGTCATAATTTAAGTTCCCATTACCTTGAAATGCTACATGCTTATTACACTAAAAAAAACCTTGAGCGAGAATTAGTTTTCCCAAAAATAAGTGGATAGAGCATCGGAACAAGTTATATGAGAATTGACCATTATGATACAAGGCCATCCATTAGAGTAGATTATCTATTGGTGTGGTCTAGGCATAGAACCCCGGTAAATGTATCTGTTTTACAGCACGCTATTTCATAATCGACTAAAGCGCTGCCAATTAGAATTTGCGCGAAGTAACGAAAAAAATCTTTTATCTATTACAGTTTTCTGTTTTTATTATATATTCCTGAGAAATTCCAGAGAACAACACTGATATAACCTTACTTAAAAATGTGTGGTTGCGATTTTTTGTTTTAAACTTTTTTATTTTTAAAATGCCAAATAAAAAAAGGCTAAATCGTGAACGGTTCGAGCAGGATCATTCAGAATCAGAATGCTCCGACTCTAATGAAGGACAAATTATTAGAAAAAAAAAGAAGCGTATTGAAAAAAGTTTCAGAAAAGTGTGGCAAGACTCATGGCTTAAACAATATCCATGGGCACAGAAAATTGAAGGAAACCCAACTAAATTAAAGTAAGTGTACAGTTTTTGTTAAATTACCTATTTAAAAAATTATTTTTGTTTTGATTTTTTTTTCGTAGATGCACTTGCTGTAGCCATGGAAAATATGGTGACAAAATTATTAATTGTGGGGCAAGTGAACTAGAAAAACATAATGCTGGTAAAAAGCATCAAAAGTTTGCTGCTGCACTTAAAAACACACAAACTCTAGAGGCGTTTTCACGTCAAGAAGAAGATCCAGAAGTTCAAAAAGTAAAAGTATTTGAAATTAAACTGTCAGCTTTTTTTGCTGAGCATAACGTAGCTACTTCTTTAATAGACCCTCTGATAGAACTCTTAAAAAATAATATTACTGATTCGAAAATAATTAAAAAAGTTACTTTAAAACGCACAAAATGCACACAATTTCAAAGCAATAAGATATTAATTCACTCTCTTTATGATAACTGCATGACTTTAATAAAAGAGGTGCTTTCTAATTTTATTAAAACCAAAGTCATTGAGACAGAAAGTTGTCTTACAATAAATGTAAAAAATCCAGCTTTTTTTTTAACAACTGATAAAGTTTTTGTGGAACAAGAATGTGAAGAAATTTTAATCCAACTATCAACAGCAGAAAATGAAACTTTTAAAGTAACCTGTATAAAATTTTATCAAAAAGCTGCCGAGGAAATTCAAAAACGATTCCTTTTGTTCAGAAATTATGAATTTTTAAAAACTCTAAAATTTCTTGATCCGCAGATTGCTTTAGGTGGTGAAGAAAGAAACAAATATTTGCCACAATTGGCAAAAATTGCAGAACAATTTAAAAATAATGTAAAAGACGTGGATTTTTCAGAAATTGAATATGAGTGGAAAAAGCTTCCACTGTTTTTGAGTGAGGAAGCAAAAGAAAAAATGCTCCAAATGGAAGTGGATGAATTTTAGAAAGAAGTATCCTTGCTTAAAAATTATAGCGGGAATTTTTCTTTCCTGAATTTGTTCAAATTCCCTTTTTCTTTCGCTTCCCCACTCAAATGCTGAGGCAGAAAGAATTTTTTCTTATGTCACTGATATAAAGATTAAGAAAAGAAATCGTTTATCGAACCATGTTTTAAATGCGATGTGTTGCATTAGAAGTTCATTTCACACAAAAAATATAAACGCTATAACTTTTGATGTAACAAAACCCTATTTAGATTTACATAATAAAAATATGTATTCCTTTAAAGATTAAAACAATGGCCATATTAATAAAAAAGGATATGCTTATACTTACAAAATATGAAGGAAATCCTTAAGCTTTTATATACATATAATCATTAATACAAGCTGAATGATTTCCTTCATATTTTGCAAGTATAAGCATATCCTTTTTTATTAATAATTGTTTTATATTTTTCATGTATTTATGTATTAATACACGTTGTTTTTTAATAAACATCCTTACAAAATTTTTAAAATGGTGTCTAATTTCTCTAATATTTAAAAAACGAGGAACGGCATATTTAAAAAAGCGTGGGAAAAAAGGGAATTTTTGAACATTTTCGAGGGAAATTTGTTGCAAAAGGGTTGGCAACACTGTGTGGACGCTGCTTCTTTACTTTAGAGATAGAAGCGATATCACCTCCTTATTCCACCCTGCTATAGTCCTTAAAGTATACCTTAAGGATATTGGACCTTATCATTTTAAACTGTTTTGGAAGTATTTTAGGAAATGCGATATTTCTGAAACCACTACACTACACCACAAAAATAAAGATAAAATTAAGGTTTCAAAAAAAAAATTGTCATGATAACCTAAAAGATGCTACATATGGTAGACATTTTTGGCGATATAAGCGACATTCAAGTTGAAAAATTAATTTAAAAACGATTGAAAAGGTTGGACTCCTCTAACGCCTGAAAGTATAAAACCCGTAATACAATTTTGAAATTTTAAAATAATATGTACTTCGTTTGCTTAAAAGAAGCCAACTAAGTAAAGTTTGCTACAGATATATGACATCTGGCGATGTCAATACTGATAAACATCCACTTAAGAGCTTTGGAATGCAAAAGGGACCCTTCCAAGTTCAATTTTCAGGGGGTGTCGGGATTTGAGATGCAAAATTAAATTAGTTAAATTATATAAATAATAAATCGGTAACTTATACGAAAATATTATTACACTGTACTACGAGTACACCCCGTATTATGGTTGCACGGAGGTATACCTCTCTACGGGACGCCTTTTTGTTAGATAATAAATAAACAGTTTATTGTACATATTAAAATGTGTTATTTAAATAGCTAGTTAGTTAAATAATGTGAAGTTGTTTAGTATTAAGTTAGTAATAGTTTAATTGTTATGTTCAATACAATTGTTGTAATTTAGTTTTAAGTTTTCAGTACCTAATCTTATTATCGGTAAAAAACCGAATAGTTAAACTTGAATTTGTATGTATTATTTTCTAAAGTAGTACCGAAGTCGGTACTATACTAATTGTTAAAATATTTTATTGTAAAAAACCAATATTTCGAAAAAACCAATCAACCAGTACAAAAGTTGACTAAGGGCACACCTAAAATTATTGATTATTTGACTGGGATACTAGACGGCAAAAATATCTATCCCAAATGTCTTTTCCACTTAAAAATGTTAAAACACTATTTTATCTTAATTTTGCCATGTCACACATGTGGTTGACTTTTTCCAACATTGGGGAAAGACAAAGAACGAGATATGAGAAGGGGCTGATCGAAAGTTGCATAAGTGGATTTAGACAGTGAGTTTCCAGTTCTGGTTGCGTGTGGACGTTTTTCCAAAACTCCGTTCTCGAATTCAAACTTGTGTGTAACGCCAGTTGTAGCCACCTTGTTTATTTAAATTCGACGCCGCGACACCGCGCCCTCTATCGTACAAACGTTTCAACTTTGTTTAAATTTCCCGCCGCGTGTATGTGCTGCCACCTGCTGGACAATCAATTAATTGCAGTGACATTTAATTTCAAAGCCTATCGCCGTGGGTGCTGACACCTGTTAGTAGTTGTGTAGTAACAGTGAACAAGTAGTTTATTAAGTTTATTATTAATCATTTGAGGATCGTAATCAACAAGTAGACCCGAAACTACAGGTATGCCAAGACATGTTATCATTGTAATTGTTTTTCCAACGTAAAGAGAGTAAGAGCCATTTCATAAATAAATTCATAAATAAATTAATTGAACCGGGATATCTACCTGCCTACAGTCAGATAAATCAGGTGACAACACTCTAGTACTACTAATGTTAAACTATGACATTTTCCACCAAATAAATACCACATCAGGCATATATTGACGGTATGATCTGCAACGGAAATCAATACAACATTTTCTTAAAAGTATAGAGACACCTTGCATTATTAATTGCTTGCATGTATACTAAACGCTAGTTGTGAGGCTGTCAATATACTGTTTAATCTCGTGCAACCTGGGAGTGTGATAATATTACATTGAAAATACATCCTGTACCTTCCGATATCCTGTAGGCTCAGCGGAAAAGGCTCGTCCCAACGATGGAACACCAACATTGAAACAATTCCCACCGAAAAGCTATAGGCAACCACATAAAAGAGCCAATATAGGCAATCCTTCCCAATATAAAAAAAGGAACTTCATAAATATTAACACACTCCCGCAGAGACTAGTGTCGATATGTGAGCTGATGATAAGGTACTAATAACCACACAGCTACTTCAACAACAAAAACAAAATATAAAAAAAATAAATAGAGGCAACTCTCGATCGTAACGATCGCCAACAATATAAACAATAAAAGAGGCCCAAGCCCACTGGAAATCGAAATCGAATTACACCCGTTCATCGATTTGATTTTATAATAAAAAAAGGTTTTACCATCATCCTTTCCATAAAGCAGAGTACCTGTCACCTGACTTTACGACCGACGGCACGCTTCTTGGAATCCTCTGGCTTTAACACCGACCCAGGCGCCAGGTCAACGACCGTGGCAGTTTACTGTTAAAAAAAAGGGGTTTAAAACGAAATATTGGTTTCCACAGTTGCTTTGTTCTCTTTACTATAAATAAATAATATGGTTATAAATATTTGTTTGATTGTTTGTCACTCTTCCTACTTTATTATGACGAATCGGGGCTAGACGTATTCTAGGCCAAATTAAAGGTAAATATAGGTATTAAAGGGTAAATTAATTAAACACAACGTAGACCGGGTCCTTTCCATTACAGAAATTGGCGCCTAGTGACCAGGATAATAAAGTTATTAAAAGGAAAAGTGACTGACATGAAAACAAAAATTAATTAGCCAATCCTTAATGACATTCATTGCAACGGTCTGAGCGCTTAAAAAAATTTACAGGTATCCAAGCCATGTCCGAAGAAAATGTGGTTATCGAAAACCCCGAGGAACCAGTCCCAGCGTGGTTCCGCATCTGGGAACATGGGATGCAACAACAGCTGATGCGAATGCAGCAGAGCAACCACGATGCCATCCTCAGCGCAGTCACCAGCCTACGTGAAGGCCACCCCGGTGCGACGCTAAGTGTCGTACAGCCGCCTGCCGAGGAGATGATCATGCACGCGGAGTCGCCTGCCTCTCCAACAATTTCGACCGACAGAACTGACAGTTCCTCCGTCGAACAAGCTGCCGTTAGCGACCCAGGACAGGTAGACCTGAAACAGCTGTTGTGGGGTGTAATGACGCAAACTGACCTACTGCCCGACAAACCGACTTTCTGGGGCGATGATAGCGTCAACCCTGTACGGTTCTTAAAGAAGTTGGAGGCGTATGGGAAAGCTAGTTTTCGGAAGCCGGACCAGATGTTGGATTTGGCGCTCGCTCGTTTGAAGGGCGAGGCAAAACAGTGGTCGGTCTTGTACAAAGGTTCGTGGAAAACGTATGACGACTTTAAAGCCGCTTTACTACGTACCTATTGGAATACCAAGAAACAGCGAGAAGTGCGTTATAAGATAAGCCACGATCGCTATGAACCGACGAAGGGAGACAGTTTATTTGGACACTTTGCTAAACAGGTCGAACTAGCGTCTCTGCTAACACCTGCGATCCCTCCCGACGAGTTGCTCGCGAATTTAGTGCAACATTATCCCGAGGACATACAGAATTTGTGGATGGTGAAAGGATCGCAAACAGTGATTGAGTTCGGCGAGTTTTTACGGCAGTACCAAGACACCGTACAAAATAGGGGCCAAAATAAAGCGATCGAAATGAACGACCGTCGGCTACAGCGAGGAGACCGTTTTAAGAGCGCTGTGGTGCGTCGTCATGAGACATCTCGGGATCGCCGCCCGGAAGCCCAAGCAACAAACCGACCGCAAACAAGCACCATTGACACCGCACGGCCAAATCCGTATCGTTGGTCAAAGGGACAGCCGCAACAAAAAAATAAACCGCCCCACAAAGAGTCGGGAAACGCATCGGGAGCGCCGAACCGGACCTACGTCGACGTATCCCGTTAGTTAGAGGTCAAAAATACATTGCGACCATCGCAGTGTCGGAACCAATCAACAACCTAAATGAACTTTATAGTACCGGGTGGAAACTCGTTACTGCACAAGGTTGGAAACCTGGTTCCGGTTTAGGAAAGAGACGACAGGGAATACAAACACCGTTAGTACATTGTACTATTCCAGTCAAAAGACTAAATTTAAACAATCCGGAAGTTCAAACAATTAACAAAACGGTGGTTGGAGACAGTGAAGTGCGAGTAGTGCCCGAAATATTAGTGGAAATAGGGAGCAAGCAATGTGTAGCGTTAGTGGATACGGGTAGTGAGGTAACCTGTGTTTCCGAGGACTTATGGACCTCGTTAATTAGCACAGGATTACAGGCTCCAACTTTACCTGTCGCTGCGACGCAACTACGTGGCGCCATGGGACAACGAAGTCATCGAGTAAGCCTCCAGGTATTTTTAGATATTAAGATAGACAAACATTTAAACTGTAAGGTGGTAGCTTTAGTGGTAAAGAACTTAGTTAAGGAATTAATATTAGGTACCGACTGGTTAATGGACAATGGTGTAACTATAGATTTTTCTGCTAAAATAATTAGAATTAAGGATAATAATAAGGATCATAGTATTAAGTTTAATAGTATAGAAAAATCTTTATGTTCTTTAGATATAACTTCAGTAGACATTAGTTCTTTAATTGCCAATATTAATAATAGCGATATAAACATTAATATAATTCAACAACTTCAGAAAGTTGTAGAAGTGTTACCGGTTGACACGGATATTAAAAATAAATTATTCGTCATTCTTAAGCGGTTTTCAACAGTTTTTCGTCCGAACCCAGGACGTACGGATAAATACACTCATAAAATTAAGATGCTTACCGAGACCCCATTTATACGACGACCGTACCCCGTACCCTTTGCATCGAGGTCCGCTGTCGAGGTCACATTGGGCGAGATGGAACGGTTAGGCGTAATCGAACGTAGAGCTTCTCCGTTTGCGAGCCCAATGACAGTAGTTAAAAAGAAAGATGGGACCGTGCGTATATGTTTAGACGCGCGGTGGATCAATGCCCAGATGGAGGCAG